TCACTTTCATGTTCAAAACTACGAGCAAAGTTGAGAAAACTTAAAAATTTTACCGCATGTGTCAGCAGTTTCCAAGAGTTTTTGTTTGTGTGTAATCCAGAACCAAATTAGGTCATTTTGATAAGCTTCTTCCCTTTAAATGCAGCTTTTAATACTTAAAAACGGCCATTGACTCTCACGCCCTTCGCCGCTTGTTGCTACTAGTAGGCTATCACTAATAGCCTACTAGTAGCAAAGCCAATCAGAACGCACGATACATGATAGCCTATTAGTAGGTTTATACTAAAGAAATTTATCCTATATTGTTGTTAAGCACAGGATTTTACTATGCGACAGGTAATTAAAAATTCAATTAGTCAATTGTGTTTACGCACTATTGTGTTCAGCATAGTATTCAGGCATTCAAATTATAACAATAGGATAATTTCTGTAGAGGGTATTTTTTTGGATACCCTGTATACTATACATACTCATGCATTTGCTTCACAAGAGAAATATTTTTGAAAAGCGCTCACTCAGTATTAAGTGTAAATTACACTGACAGGCTGGGAGTGGGGTCTTTTGAAAAGTAAAGAAATGCTAGTCAAGCAGTTCTCCAGTTCGGCTATGCGTTGCAGGCTATAGTTATAGGCTATGGTTAGCAACGTTCACATTATTTTTATTTATTTCACATTAATTAATTAAACTTCGTTAATGTTTTGCTGTAGTAACTGTACACCACTGTTTCCTGTACGTACAGATTTGCACTAATTTATTTCAGGAATACAAAGCTAATCACAAAGAATTTTAACCTACGTACGATATCTCAACTAAAGAAACGAATATAATTAATATTGTATCAGCCAATAGAAAGCGTTGAGTTGAACGAATGTCAACGGTACAGTCGCTCAGTTAATGAGGCTATTCGTTCGTTCTCATGCTTCGGTGCAGGTTAACTATTTGGACGAAACTTATTATTCTCATGTGTGAGAAAATTGTTTCGCTTCCCGGATTCCCCGATTCCCGGATTCCTCGATTCCCGGATTCCCCGATTCCCGGATTCCCCAATTCCCGGATTCCCCGATTCCTCCCTCCCTGTTTTAAAGATAGCCATGGAGCCCCTCTCACCAATATTGATTTACTTCCGACGGCCTTGTTTATATGCATTGCAAAGCGAGTTTCCGCATAAGCACGTAATTAAATTAAGTCCACTCGCAAAACGCAGTCACATGATAAACTAACTGCAGGCATCGCTATACAAAGAAATCAATATACCTCGTACAGTGACCGCACAACAGTATTGATTCTGCTGCTTGGGACGTACATTTTATATCGTGAAGGTCTCATATTATAGATCGTCGAGAATGTAAGTAGATACTGTAGATCAGTTCAGTTTGAAAATTTTTAAGTTTAAAATCAATGTCTAGAAATTATTTATAACTTCCTGTCGATTTTATGCGAAAATATACGAAGGGATCTCAAATCCCAGTTCCTAACCCAATTCTGGCCTAAATTCATTGCGAGTTACCAGACTAACTTTTGCCCAAATTTCATTGGCAAGACCTGAAATTATTTCCTGCAAGTTCCAATCAGTGGTTATGTGGGAACTGATGCACTCACGAGTACAGGAAGGATAAAAAAAAGGTAATCGAACTTCAGCGCGCTATTGTACGTGAATTACTCGACGTATGAACAAATTTTTTTCATATTCGGAAAGATCAAGCTTTTAGCTATTGAATGACATGTTTTTCATGCCAAGTGGAAAATGTTAGTCAGAATCGCATATTTTTACATCTGTGCCTAATTAAAGCATATGACCCAGTCAACGGTGAAAATATGCGACTAGCATTTTTTATCGGACTCGTACTTCCTTATTTTTCATCAATTTGGCATGAGGAACATATCATTCTTATTCAACAGCTAAAAGCCTGATCTTTCCGAAGATGAAAAAATCTCGTTCATACGCAGAGTAATTCAGATACACTAACGCGCTGAAGTTCGATACTTTTTTTGATACGCCCTGCATAACTAAAACCACTGATCTTGCTATACAGGGTGTCCCGAAAAAAACGAAAAACCATTGAAATAACGTATTGTAAGGTGTCCCAAAAAACCCGAAAACTATTGAAATCACCAATAACAATTTAATTGTTAGAATTTGGATGCCTTAATAGCACTCTGTTGGTTCCCACGAGTACATAAATGATTGACATAAGTAAATTTTATGCATAAAGAAACTATTTAAGAATTAAGAAGCCGCTTTAAATTCCCAAGAGCATAAAATCGCGCACTTTATATTACAAGGAGATGTTCTTAACTAAATTTTAATACATGCACCTTGTCAATATATTTTACGCATCATTTACGTTCAACTTTTTGGTAGGGGATTCAAATTTTAATAATAAGTGGGACACCCTGTATATATGAATATTACTATTTACATGAGAAAGCATAAAATTTATTAAAATTAATGACGGTTCGATTATTTTGAATTCATTCATTATGTACTGTTTAAAAGGAGATATTTTTGTATGTTACGTAACACGCATTCAAAACTAACGAAACTAAATATTTTTCGATACGTTTCTTAAGCGGCAAACAAACTTGAAAAGTATGTTTAGTTCTTTATCTGCAAAGTAAAGTTAAAATGAAAAGATTTTAGATGGTACGCCAAAGAGAAAATGATATTTGAAGCTCAGGAAGTTTTGCTTATATTGCTGTATAAATATGGCGTCAATTTTACAGCATCAGTGATAACTTCCGGCGTTTCCGCCTACAAGTAGGATTAAAACTGCGCTTTAAAACCTTCAAAATAAAATATTTTGGGCTCTAAATACTATCAAAATGAAGAGAAAAGTGAGGCGAATGCACTGGTATGCGGCCGAAAAGAGAAAACCAAAGTTATCAAGATTCCGAAAGATTGAACGTCTGCATTTTTAATTAGTTTAATAATTTTGAGCGATTTGTCAACAATACAATTTCGCTTATTAAAACTGGACTTTAAAACCGTCAAAATAAAATATTTGGGGCTCAAAATACTAGGTATATACGGCGAAAATGAGAAAACCAACGATATCGAAGTTATCAAGGATCAAACAGACGTACTCTAGTTTACAGTAAAAATACAAAAAGTGTCTCACTTCCGCTTCTGTAGTTTGTTGTGATCTACTGTAATTTGTTCTGTTTTTCTGTAGCAATTACCGATTTATCGGCAAATACCGCAATAAAACTTAGTTTTCTCTATTTTTAAATATGATAATTTGTAAAGGGAAATAATACATTTTTCCTTAGTTTCATTGCATAAAACGTACGAAATTTAAATTTTATCGCAGTATTTAAAGTTTGTTCTTTCACTGCAACCAGTTATATCAATCATTTCTCATGACAGATATACGTATTCTATTCTCAAGTACGTCAAGTAAATTACTTCTCTTGAGGAAATCCAATATTATCAGCAAGGCTACGTATGAAAAGTTAATTATATACAGGAGTGATAGACTATCTCCGCGTTTCTATTTGGGTCAGTCTAAACGCCAGTTTGGTACACGGCTAAAAGAACATCAAAAGGCTGTTTCAACTTTAGACAAGGGAAATCAGCTTTAGCAGAACATGTGTCAGTGACACCAAACACGAGATCGCGTGGGAAAACTCTAAAGTAATTACCACAAACAATCGCTATGATCAAAGACTATGCCTACAATCGTGCACAAAATATTTGAGACAAACCCCCTCCCCCGATTTCAATGTTGTTAGGCACTACAATATAGTTTAATTCCAACATCATATGTTAAATTTCAACTGCCAGTGACACAGTTGCGGTGCTAGTGTCACCTTCAGCGACTGATTGACCAATTGGGAGCAAGCATGCCAGTAAACAGAAGTTGATCAATTTTCTATCAAATGAATTGATCAACTTGAGGAAAGGAATTGGTGCAATATTTTATCAACACTTCTATTGCATCGACATGTACAGTAAGCCCGGCGCACACTAGAGCTATTTGCTTAGCAAAACGTCATTAGTGACTGTTGGCGTAAGGAGAAAGCTCTCGTGTGCGGTAAACTTTTGTAAGTGTTTCGTCACTCGTGACGCGTAAGACAAATATCCGACGTGTTGAATATTTTTGTCACGAATGCATAAGACCGAAAAGGAAAATAGTTAATGAGGAATATTCATATTCGCTACTCAAGTGTCACATTCCTCATTAATCATTTTCCTTTTGTCTTATGATTTTATTACGCATGCCTATTCGATCTACAATGAAAGGTGATAGCTTTTCGAGCGCGCACACGTGGAGGAAATGTTCATTGGTGACAAAAAATATTCAACACGTTGGATATTTGTCTTAGGCGTCACGACTCACGAGTGACGAAAAACTTACAAAAGTGCATCGCACACGGGGCGTTGTGAAAACCCGGAATGCCGGAGTATAACGGAATATGGCGGAATATCACGGAATATGGCGGAATATCACGGAATATGGCGGAATATCAGGGAATATGGGGGAGATCTAGATTGCTAACGCATACCTAGCGCATGCGGGGCCTACATGATAAATCCAAGATGGCGGTACAACAGGGCGAAAAGACTATAAATTCCATTACGAAAATCAGGATTTTTGCATTTTTTGCCGTCGCATTGTTTTGAAACTTATTCGGTCAAATTTTATGGTAAAGAGAAACTTACTGCGAAGATTTTGAGCATATATATGATTGAATTGGATGAAAACTCGCAAAATTATCCATCGATAAAAGTTCGTGTATAGTACTGATATAGTACTATATATGTAACTTGTACAGTTTTGCTTTAATTTTTGCTCACTATTTGCATAAAAAGCAAATTATAACAGATCATAGATGATAGACCCTCATCCAGTGCTCTTCTCTAACAAGCAAGGAGGGGGTACATAACAGTTCATTTTTTATAATTATGAGGACAGAGCAGATGATGATGAGAGATGCAAGTATAAAACACCATTCACAAGGCTAGATGTTAACATATCACAGTATTTCTGGCAATAAAACGCTCCAACTGACCAACTGACCATTTCACACGAACTTTTATCGCTGGATAATTTTGCGATTTTTCATCCAATTCAATCATATATATGCTCAAAATCTTCGCGGTAAGTTTCTCTTTACCATAAAATTTGACCGAATAAGTTTCGAAACAATGCGACGGCAAAAAATGCAAAAATCCTGATTTTCGTAATAGAATTTATAGTCTTTTTGCCCTGTTGTACCGCCATCTTGGATTTATCATGTAGGCCCCGCCTGCGCTGGGTATGCGTTAGCAATCTAGATCTCCTATATCTATGGGGAATATCACGGAATATCACGACATTTTCCCGGAATATCCCGGATCACTACGATATTTTAATCATGCGGTAGCCATGCGACTGTTTATAAACATGGACGTCTGACAACATCTTTTATTACAAAAGTGATGGATCTTTCCCATTTCCCACGGTAACAAATAATAACTCAATATTGTAAGTCTTATATGTTGTTTATATCATTATTACGAGTGTTTACCAAAATTTTTGAAATGAATATAATTAATTCCTCCTGAGTTACAGTAGCCTCCTTCGCAGACGTCAGTGTGCTCGCCACGTCTCTCCCACTAACGTACACAACTGGCGGCTGCGAGGGAGACTAGGGTTACAGCGTCTAGAAAAATAAAAGTGCTGACATCAGCATTATTTTCGAACGCCTTCAAAACTGGGTTATACCATGGGTTGTAAAATAACAATCCGTTTAATAACAACTTTAAAAATTCTTGGTTAAGGTTAAGACTTGATTTCTTACCTGATATAAACAAGAGTGGTCAATTTTATTCCGCCAACACTTATCACTTTATGTTCTCTTTTATATAAATGTAATGTCATATATACCTCATGTAATATAACCTTTTTAATTAAGTAAACTTGAAAGTCTGAATATTGATTTATAATCATAGATATATATAAATAGACAATAGATATACTCCCAAACTTTTTTAAATTTTATGAGGGCTTTAGATCACCCCTGATGAAGACAATAAACTGGAGTGACAGGAGTGTCGAAACGTTGGGTCTTGATTACAATTCGTCTGGGCTCTGTAATCGTTTATTTAAACCAGTGTAGCGAGCGAAACATGATTTATCGTAGTATTTGCCGATACAATCGCTACAGAAAAACAGAACAAATTACAGTAAATCACAACAAACTACAGAAGCGGAAGTAGGACACTTTTTGTATTTTCACTGTAATTAGTTTAAAAATTTTGAGCGATTTGTCAACAACACAATTTCGCTTGACTTTCAAAGGCCATAAATCGCTAGAATACTGTTGTTTAGTAACACATGTAACATCCGTAAGTATAATTTTTTACGCTGAATCGAACGGTGGTATTTTTGTCCTTATTGGACGCATAAAACTACTGATAAGGCGCAGCAAAAAGTCAATCGTGAGAGTCCGAGATGAATTGGAAAGAAAACTTTCCTCAAAAAAGGAATTCGGAAAACATGAAAGGATTATTTTGAGCGGCTTGTCTTTGAAAAGCCATGAATCTCTGGAATAGAAATCAATCGAACAATGGTATTTTTGTCCTTGTTTAGAGCATAAAATCAGAGGTAAAGGCGTAAAGCCCAGAGAACAGTCGGTCCTGAGAGTCCAAGATTAATTCATTTTCCCATTCACAATAATGAATGAATTCAAAGGAATTTTTACTAGGATATTAAGGAAACGTATTGATCCGAACAAACTAACAAGTGGCACAATATAAAGCGGTGCCAAACTTGGCACCGGCACCGCAATATAAAACTGTGCCAAACTTGGCACGGGCACCGCACTACTAACGAGGAGTGTTTTATGAAGTATAAAGTCACTGCACGTTACGCATTATCAGTGATTTAACAGGCTAAAAAGCTTATGAATTATTAATGATGTTGAATTAATAACTAAAATAGTATACTAAGTCTGTTGAATTTATATATTAAATTTAGATGCAATTGCTTTCTGTTCTCCTGATTTTTGCTGTTATTGACAAGGTGTACGGAGGTATGTTCAATGGACCTTTCCCTTTATAACTAAAATTTTGATTTAGACAAGTCTAGACAAAAATTCCATCACAACTTGAAAGAGCATCACAAAATTAGTAATATTCCAAAGTTTCGTTGCGAAATGTTGTAAAATGCGGATAATATAGCCTTGCGAAATTTGCAATTTTCAGTCATTTTAGATTACAAACGGAAAATTGTGCCCCAACACCCAACTGGGCTGTCAATTTCCCGTGCGTAATACAAAATGACTGAAAAACGGCAAATTTCGCAAGGCTATATTATCCGCATTTTACAACATTTCGCAACGAAACTTTGGAATATTACTAATTTTGTCATGCTCTTTCAAGGTGTGATGAATTTTTGTCTAGATCAAAATTTTTGTTATAAGGGTGAAGGTCCTCAGTGTAGGTAGTGCCAATAGTAAGAAAGCTGCGGATTGGTAGGGATACAGCTACATACAACTAGGGATACAAGACATTTTAATAGTAGCAATCACAGTTTTTCAGATGTGAAAATTCAAGCCCTATCACCCCATTCATGCATACCGGAAGCAATGATGCCCGCAAAAGACATAGCTGCGTGGCAGGCCCATTGAATATAGGCCTGCAACAATCTCAGGGAAATTTGGTATTTCGGGACCGTGAGAGGACTATTGGTTGAAATCATAATGTATGCCAAAATACGCATAAATTACTGTGGCGCAATATTTATACGCTTTCAATAAATGCGTATATTTTTGAAGGAGTACTGTCGGAATTTGTGTTTTAAACTAAAAAAAGAACAGCTGGAAATTGGCAGGTTTTCTCATTGGATATCTGCTTTGACAAGTTGAAGAGCATGGATACAAACCCATGCACGTGTTGGTATTTCTCTAAATAATACAGTAGCTATACCAGATCAATTTGAAAATACTGATTGACAAATTATGTATCGTATTAAGAACGTGTTGCTTTATGTATTATGAAACTTACTACTCGAACTACAAACGTTGCTTTTATCGGTTATTATGAGTTTTAAAACGGACTACAAACTACAGTGCAATTTGGGGTCTCTGTAAAGAACGGAAACCGAAACGATCGAATCCGGAAACGACCGAAACCGGAAATTCCCGCATAACGAGTAATTGCTGACACACTATTCTTGACACGCGGTGGTTTCTCCAGAGTTCACTCGACTCAGTCTTTCGCTCGAGTTATGTATTGTCGAGATCGAGATCTTGTGTCTGTCTGTGAAGATGTCGTAATCCGGGGGGAATAATTAAGCTTCAGAAACGTTTGTTAAATGAGGGGAACGGTCAGAAATTAGCTTGTGTACAGCCGTAAATTCTCCCGACTCCCGTAATTACGGGAGAATTTACGGCCGTACACAGGCTATCAGAAACGAGATTTAGTTAATACGTATGCAAGAGATTTCATACGGATGGAAGAGATCGAAAATATTAGGAAAAATTCTGGTAAGTTTGGCTCTATTTGTTTCTTTTAAAATACATCAGGGCGATGACCTTTTTAGTGTTCGATCCAGAGGCAAGCAATGTGCTTTTATGAGTTAATATCGGCACTTTTAACTGCCCAAAATATACCACTGATCGAATGGTCAAAAAAAATTTAATAATGTCGTATTACAACGAGTCAAAATGTACATGCAAGATCTGAATGATCACTTTGTTGTCTTAGAACCTGCCCAAAATATACCACTGATCGATTGATCAAAAACAACATTTAATAATGTCTTATTACAAGGAGACAAAATGAACTTGCAACTTGCAAGCTCTGAATGATGGCTTAACTGCTGTCTTAATACCTGGTGTCGAATTCTTATCTGTAGGTACCTTTAATTTGCCTAAAGTTGTCAGTGTTTCAAGTTGTACGAACAGGTTTTCTTAATTAATACGAATATTTGATTTCGTGATCGACACACATAATGTGCCAGCTGTAGTCAGTGTAGTGCTAACCTGAGTATCAGGCTCTATTTTATAAATAATTTAATAGCCTGACACAAACCTTAATCCGATCGCTTTCCACCCACAGCAAAGTTTATATTTAGTATCCAATCAAATTATCGGAGGAGAAATTTAAGTTTCGCACAACAACAACAACAATCTAATTATAGTAATGTTGTGCTCACTATAAAATATATCAACAAAAATGGTATAATCTAATTAGCACCAACCAATCAAATGACAGATTAAAAAATCATTTGTCTCATAGACCAATCAGATTTACAACCGAAATATGGTTGTACGGCATGGACTTTTGTTAAGGCCTGATCCCAGGTTAGTGTAGTGCATGCGAAAACAACTACAACACCTGTGGATCCCTTTGATGTACAAAATAACATTGAACTACCCATAGTTATAGGACAAAACAGTAACAGTGCAGCCATGGTGGTGCGATAGAACAATAACAGTCTACCCATTGTGGTAGGGCGAAATAATAACAGTCTAACGATGCATTGTGGGTACAAAATATCATTTGACTACCCATAGTGGAGCTATAGCACATTGAGGCACAAAATAACATTGTCATTGTTGTGCCCGTTGTGGTAGTGCCTATTAATTAAGGCACAAAATAATATTCGACTACCAATTGGTGGTAGAGCCTAATGAGGCAGAAAATAACATTCGACTACCCATTGTGATAGAACCAGTTGAGGCAAAAAGTATTATTGATCTGCCGACTATGGCAAAAAGTAACCTGATCTATCCACTGGGGTAGAACACAATGGGCAATTCCAGCTTTTAATTTATGTGCGCAGGGGGATGACGGGAAATAAGGTATCATATTGCTGATTATGCTGAAAATTTTCAATAAAAACTGCCGAAACATCCGAAATATTTCAATATTTACAAAGATAAGCTATACCACTCTGTGTTCACATGTCCACCATTTTTATTTTTTCAGCATAATCAGCAATATGATAGTTTACTTTCCATCCTGCCTTGTACGCATAAACCAAAGCTGGAATTGCCTATTCTGTAGCGCCTAATATCTCGTGCTACCAATTATTTTTTCTATACAGTAGTTTTGCAATTCTGAAGGATGTGAACGGTGCTGGATGAAACCAAATGGTTGTTACAGTCAAAATATAATATTAGGAGGCTTTGCCCCCCACCGGAAAAAGTGAATTTCCGCCACTGCTTTAAGTTAAAGTGACTTGGAAATCACAAAATATTAAAAACACGTATTAGGATTCGGTAATACCAAAATATACGTGAGGAATGATCAGAATGATTTGGTAGCAGTTTGCTAGCAGTCGGAATAGCATGCACGTGCGAGTTATTTTGATTCGTGCCAACGCACATGTTTTCGCTCGTGGTTTCGTATTTCGTTTCTCAGTTTAACAAATGGATAGCATTTTTTAAGGCGGGAGTCGACACTTAAAATCCCACACATACTTCCAGCGTCAGGCTTTATACAATTGACAGCGCGGGAGGCCTACTGTTTGTGAGCCAGTTAATAGCCTAATAACCTTCCAATAACAAAAAACTTCAATCAAACTTTTCAACGTCTTGTTTTTAAATAAAGTTGAACGGTCATTCACAAACACATATAACCCAAAACATGGGCTTAGCAATCAACATAGGATTAATAGTGCTAACGGGAGTGACGAGTTTAATTAATTGAACAACAGGCATCGGAAGTGCATATTTTATAGTTATCGTAAACTGTACATTGTCATATCTGTATTAATTTATCACTTACCGCATGTTCTTCGTTCTAATTATTTGTCCTCATTCTTTCCAGCTATACCCCTGAGGTTGCAAGGTCGAGTAAGCCCAAGTTATGGCATTGGCCGTGTGGAAGTATTTTACAATGACAAGTGGGGGACAATCTGTGATGATAGATGGGATATAAATGATACTAAGGTCGTATGTCATCAACTTGGTTATAAATATGCTGTTAAAGCACTTCAAGGGCGTGATGTTCTTGATGGTACTGGACAGATATGGTTAGATGATGTCTCTTGTACTGGGAGTGAACAAAGCTTGAGCAGTTGTTCTCATATGGGATGGGGAATTGAAGACTGTAGCCACAGTGAAGACGCAGGAGTAATATGTTCTTCAACATCAGGTAAAATCATGTTATTCAACAATTCTTGAATATGAGGTTGAGCATGGTATGAAAAATTATCAAGCTCAAGTTTGTGTTATCAAGTATCAACCGGCCGAGGCGGCCGAATGATATTTTGGACTCGCATTCAACTTTCTTCGGCATGACGTCATGGTAGATTTTTCATGTCAACGTTATGACGATAAGGTAATTGATATGATTTTTATATCAATGTCATGACATTACCTCGTTGATATGACGCGTATGATTCCACAATTGGCTGTCAGGACCCCATCAGACCCTTTGCATTTTTTAAATAAATGATAAATTGTTTCAAATTAACCAGTCGTATGAAACTGTGACACACATTACTCACAATAACTCCTAGAAGAATATATTTTACTACTTTTCGCGAACATATTTTGTCATTTTCGTTCTTTTGCATGTTATATTTGTATCAGACGTGGCTAAGACAATCTATTCCAAATAATCCAAGTAATTAACATAGCGGGATACCAATTATTTCGAAGAAATCGTACGTAAAAAAATCTATCGAATGTAAAATATCGACTGATCTTCACAATAATGACAACGAAGCTCTATGGCTCCTATTACGACCAAAATGCCTACCTCGAGGATTCTCGCATATTATAGCTGCTGTTGTCTATCATCCACCCGATGCCGACAATAACGCAATGAAGGAATATATCTTAAAAACTCATTGGAATTTATCAAGTCAAATTATCCAAACAGCGCTGTAGTCCTAGCTGGTGATTTTAATAAACTTTGTTTCAAATTTTCAGCAAAGTACTTTCATTTAAAACCTATTACAAACGTACCTACAAGAGGCAATAGTACTTTAGATCAGAATTTTAATAATTTACAAGATTTTTACATGGCACCAAATAGAAGATGTCCATTTGGACTATCTGATCATCTCACAATTACTGTTTTCCCGGTAATACGGCAAAAGTCAATGTCCGAAAAGAAAACAACAATAAAAGTGCGTGATAAAAGAAGAAGTAGTGTGTCTCTAGTCTTGACCGGTTCTCCCAGAACGTCCCGTAGGAAGATATTATATCGTCAGTTCAACCTCCTGTGAAAAACTCAAAATTTTCACTGACATAATAAATTACGGGCTTCTTACGTAAGCGTACTCAAAGAGTTAAAGTGAATTATGAATGCCATTCCAATGTACTGCAAGACCCGGCTGGGGTACCCCAAGGGACCAAATTGTCTCTATCGGCCTCTATCTCGTATATAACTTCTCAGTTACAAGATTTGGTGAACAAAAACAAGACTGGTTCTGATATTTCCGCTTTGCCAAAGCAACCTTGCGTATCGGACGAGCTTACTGATTATGTAGATGCCGACAGTGCTGGTGTTGATAATTCTTTTGTCATACAAGAATCGATTCGACTAATCCTCGAACGAACAATGGGAGCACTACCGAACCACGGCCAATTAAGCGTGAAGAATACAATAATCAGTTTAACGAGTTAAACGGGAATGCTTCCGAAAATCCTATAGAAGTGAACCCAAATAGTCCATCCGCTGATGTTTCTATAGAAGATAATAATAATACGAAAACACATCACCCTACCTACGCAGAAAAAACGGCTAATCAAACAGCTACCAAAACAAATCACCAAGATCCTATCAAGAATAACCTAAGCAAGAAATCGGAGCATACCTCGAAGAGTGTGGTTTCTGAGGTCGGACAGTCGCCTGATGATTTTATTGGAGAAATTGTTCGTAACGGGAATCGCCGAAAGTGTAAACGAAAGTCAAATCCTTTCTTACCTCAATCAAAGAAATATTTTCCACACTTATATCTCGGTTTTTCGAAGCCGCCGTCGAGAGACTCTTTCGTGTAAACTCCATATACCCTCAGGCGCCAGTGCACTGGTGGAGAAGGAAAACTTCTGGCCCACATTTGTTACTTGCAAACCATGGCGACCAAAAGATCATGATATGAACACAACTCAGAAGAAAATAAACTCGACCCGGAATGGGAGCTACTCAACCCTTGTATAATGGCGGAGACACCCTTATTTATTTCTACAGTACACGGTATGGAAAGGTCTAGAATACAGCATTTCGGCCGACTCAAACCAATGTGTACTCGAAATCTCAGTAACCTTGTTAAAATTCCTATTACCAAAACTCATTCTCCAAGAACTGAATTCATTCCAAAAATTATGCTAACTAATGTCATGTCTCTAGTTCCTAAGCTTGACCAGCTACGTATTTTGACCTCTGCACAAAGTTTTGATTTGGGTTTTATAACTGAAACTTGGCTGCGAGAGTTCTTTTGTGACACCCATGCGACTTCATTTGATTACGACCTCGTGAGGCGGGATCGTAGTCTTGGTATCCACGGTGGTATCTGCATGTACATAAAGAATTCCATCCGTTTCAAACGATTATCTGAAATTGAACATTTAGACTTTGAGGTTTTATGGACACACATTAGGCCACCAAGATTACCAAGGAGAATTAACGGCATTGTTTCTGCGTGCGTCTACCATCCTCCAAGTTCCAGCAATACAGATCTTTTTCAATACCTATCTGACTCACTGACACTACAGGAAAGTCTTTTTCCAGGCTGTGGAATTATTATTGCTGGTGATTTTAACCACTTTGACACTAAAGATCTTTGCCGAGATTTTCAGTTAAAACAATTGGTTAATAAACCAACTCGTGGTGCCAAGATTTTGGATCTTATACTTACAAACATGCATAAATTTTACGATGTACAACCAACCATGGTTTTCCCTCCTTTCGGATTATCAGACGGTAATGTGATAATTGTTGAGCCCAAAGTTAAAACATCAGAGATCCCAAGTAGAAAGACAGTAATAAAAAGAGACATTCGTCAATCACGCAAAAAAGAACTTGGTCGATATCTGAGTAACTTTGACTGGCAACTGATCGATTCCTCCGAACCGTGCGATAAAAATTGTGATATCTTATGCTCCGCAATAAAGACGGGTTATGACATCCTTATGCTTGAGAAACACGTTAAATTCCATCGCAACGACAACCCATGGATAACCGAAAAATTGAAACAGCTGATCAAGTTTCGACAACGTGCGTTTTCATCTAATAACACTACTCTTTTCAAATTCTACCGAAATAAAGTGAATAGAATGAGAAAATCTTGCTGGGCAGACTACTTTGCTTCAAAAGTTGCTAATCTGAAAAAGCTAACCCCAAATCTTGGTGGACAGAGGTTAAACGTATCTCCGGTATGAGACCTGTATCTGGCAGTTTGCTTAACCAACTTCATGTCGAAGATACAGAACATTTAACACACAAAGGTTTTGCAGATTTAATTAACAAAAGCCTAATAGAACCAGTGAATACTTATGATCCCTTAAATGTCACAGATTTCAACACCTTGTTTGAGGAGATTCCTGATTATCCGCTAGATGTAAAAATAAATTTGACAAATACTGCATCGGTCTTCAAAATACTGAAAAGCTTGAACCCGCATAAAGCTCCGGGCCCTGATGATATCCCAAATTGGATTCTTCGTGATTATGCCGAAATCCTTGCTCCCTCTGTATCGGACTTATTGAATTCGTCCTACAAGCAAAAAAGACTACCCTCATGCTGGAAACAAGCTAACATTACATGTTGGATCGGAAAGCTACATTAAGACGTTAAGCTAAATAAATGTATCATTGTGAATGACACTCGCATCTGTTAATGATCACATAGCAGTCGAACATTTGTTAGTATAGATAATCAGCCTTTACTTTATCTCATAATTGGTTTATCCCTTGTAGAATCCGACATTTTTATAACCTATTTTATACCTATTTTTTCTCTATTTAGCCCTATTTTTTCCGTATTTTTTCAAAAATATGTCTATTTTATTACTATTTATCAAATTTCATAAAATAGTATATGACTATTTACTCCCTATTTAAAATATAGGTTATATATATTTTTCAAAAAAATAGCTTTGAAATAGATATTCAAATCCTATTTGAAAGAGTAATTGACGGAATCTCACTATAAAATAGCTTTTAAATAGCTATTTAATTCCTATTGATGACAAACGAGTCAGTTAGAATACTTTAAATAGCTATTTTTAAACTATTTTTGCATATCTTCTTTGGAGCCATTCTTAACATAGTTATTAAATAGCAAAATAAATAGGTCTTAAATAGCTATTTGATTCCTATTCATAGAAAATTCTGGCGAACTTTGTTCAAAATAGCTATAAAATAGCTATTTTTAAACTATGTTTGCTTTTATTTTTGGAGATATTATTGAGTATTGTTAAAATAGTTATTAAATAGGAAAATAAATAGATCTTAAATAGCTATTTAATTCCTATTCATAGAAAGTTGTGGCGAACTTTGTTCCAAATAGTTATTAAATAGCTATTTTTAAACTATGTTTTCTTTTATTTTTAAATTTTTAGAGCCATTCTTAGAATAGTTATTAAATAGCAAAATAAGTAGATCTTAAATAGCTATTTAATTCCTATTCGATTCATAGACAGTTTGGTCAAAATGGCTATTAAATAGCTATTTTTACACTATGTTTACTTTTATTTTTAGAGCTATTGTTAAAATAGCTAATAAATAGCACAGTTCCTTTTTTAAGGAATTTTTACTAGGGGGAGGGAGGGAGGGGGGGGGGAACAGGAAAAAAGGCAGAACGAAAAATATGACCCATCGAAGTTTGGCGAACACGCCAGTCTGAAGAGAGATTTTGTAAAACTTGAATTTATTAACTTCTCCTATATAGACAATAACTTCAACCCTTTGTAGCTATAATCGTACAGCTATAACCAGTGGCGTAGCCAGACCTTATTTTTTTT